GTTGATTATACGAAGTCTTATATACCTTGTCTATGGTTTCGAAAGACATTTCGAAGGGTCCCACTGAATACCAGACAAAGATTTTCATTTAGACGAACTTATATTAACTCTGCGTTTCACATTTTCATCAATACCGTAGAGTCCTAGGTACCAGAATTCGGACACTTTAAATGTATATAGGTGCATTAAATTACGATGTCCAAAGTTTCATGGTATTCGGATGAGTTTATTAATATATGATTTTTTTATATCTAAAGATAAACTGGGTGTACTATATCTATAATATTACCACATAAAAGTACATTTCAACGAGAGTAATTTAAAACTGTAATAAATAAACCTCCATTTCACCCATATGCTATGGTTGCGCTGCCACAGCATTAGCTAGTTCATAAAAAAGTTTTCGTATAAGTTTGAACAATAGGTATAGTAAAAGGAAAAAATTACAGCTATAAATTCACTTAACATGCGCGATAAAAACAAAGAAGTGGACTTTGGGAAATAAGCCTGGGATATTTTGTTTCCTATACCATGCGAGGTTATCTCAAAGGCTTAGCGGTCATTTATAAAACTTGGTTTCCTTTTTGTCTTTTTTATCCGAAAGTCGCTTAGCGTTAAGCCTCAAATATAAAAGCATATTCTAAAAATACCTGTGTTTTTGTAGATATAAACTAGAAGCATTGTTTTGTGCAATAATATGTTTATACTAGCATTGGCCGCGGCTCCGCCCGCGTTCAGATGACCAAAATCCAAATTCTTATGTTTACCATAATAGTATACTCTTACATTGCAGTTTTTGTATTGTTTCTCAGAAATGAGACCTTTTCCCGCAGTAAAAAGTATCCTTTATGTTAAACCGGATTATCAGCTATCATCATACCAAATTTCATCAAAATCCCTCCAGTGGTTTTTCTGTGATGCGGTAACAGACAGACAGACAAAAATTCTAAAAACTATAGATTCGGCCTCTATATCGATAATAATGTTTATTTCAATAAGATTTTCCAAAAAATATTTAATGTACAGATTCGGCTTAGGTACAATTTTATAATATGTATAGATATATTGTCGTACATTATATTTAAGTCTCAAGAGTATAGTAAATATATTTTGTGTAAGGGCTTGGCGTTTTAGTATTCCATGTAATTGTGACGATCACTGACGACATATTACGAGGCATAAAGCAAGACGATGTGTCCCTTGCGCGTAGTTTGCGTCGCCATGTGTCCGCTATATCCTGAGCTCCTATCATCAACGTTTTATTGGAAACTGGAAGGACCAATCAATTTCCTGTCCTGTTTTTGTTAGATACTGTTTGACAGCAAACCGTGGACATGTATTCATATACTGACAAAAATGACATTGATACAGGTGACAAAAATATAACTCAGAGTAGGTATCTAGTGAATGTAGAGCATTTCCGAAGATATATAAATAAAAAAAGAATAAATAAAATATATGTACATACATAAATTTTTATTTTATGTATAAATTGAACATTCATTTAAGTAAGCAATATCGCACGAAAATTATTTTTATATGTTGATTAAGTAAACAAATACTTTTAATTGAACGTGCAATAATAAACTGTATATAAATTGCATTAACAATATCAAAATAATTTAAGCCAATACAGTAATTAACTACTAGCAAACTCGAATTAAATGACTGATGGTATGATTTCAATTTTGGTAGTTTTATTTGCGTATTAACCTATTTAATTGATTAGGTTTGATTGCTCGCTTTATTATATTGTATATGTATTTAACCCTTTTTTTAACATCCCACTGCTGGGCACGGTTCTCCCTTCGCAGTACAAGAGCCGGATATACCACGACCTTCACCGATCTGTTAATCAGATGAAATATATTTTTATAAAGTTTCAATAATAGCTAAACATGCCTAAAATACGCTTGCTTATCGAAATTCTCATCAGGCTATTTTTAAATTAATTAATTATTGTTTTTTTTTTCGCCATTCTATTAATCAGCCGAATTTTGTTCTAACCGGTAGTAAAAAATAGAAAGAATATGCCTAGGTATTTGCCTTGTCTACTTATTTCTTGACAACTCTACCTGGCAAGCGAGTATAAACAGATAAGTTATATTGTAACTAGTAACGTCACGGATCTGTTATGCGCTTGAATTATATAGCTATCAAAATATAGATAATTTTATAATTAACACGATAGTATAGCATTGCCTACCATCCTTTGGTATAATATACATATGTGTGAAATGATTTTGTTTCTTCTTCTCTATACAATTTTAGTAGTTTTATTTAAAAAAAAGTCAATAAAAATAAATTATTATAATAATGAAAATCTCATTAATTTTATAATTTAATTATCATAGAAAAAAAAGAAAAAATTCGAAAAGAAGTAATTGCAAAAGGAAAAATACTTTAAATATACAACAGTAGTGATTTCACGACTTTGTTTATCCTCCCGACATCTACATTGATATTTATTAACTGTTAAGTAACTTGATACCATTTTATTACCATTGCTAATTAATTAAACGAATATTTTTGTACGTTTAAATTTTAATTAGCTTAGTCTATATAGAGGAAGATAAATGTCAGGAGGTTGTAGTAGGTACTATTAATTTCTTTATTCTAAGGATTCATATTAAATAATAAATAAACAGTAATTTACGGGACTTATTTATATTAAATATACTACATGTAACAAGTAAATATTATAAAATACCAATAACGTTTGATTAAGCTTCATTGTAATAAATGTAAAAATTATTAATATTGTACTAAAAAATAATAAAAAACACGCTTTTGTTTGGAGCTCACTAAAATCAGGCTCTCAAACGCAAACCTAACATTAGGATTTGTCAAAACATAAGGCAAATAAAGTTTGTCGTTAGTTGATATTACAGTATTTTGTATACATAATCATTAAATAGAGTTTTATGTATCGTATATAAAATTGGTATAGGCATAAAATACACGCGTCACAATTAAAATATCGCAGGTACTAGATATCGCCATATTCCAACAGGTAACGACTCGGAAACAACGCAATAACCAGCCTGAAATTGTATTATCTTCGCAGGCACAGAGCTGATTTGACATGTCAATAATATTATCGTTTTTATTACACCCACGTTTGTGTCAACAGTTGTGAAAAACGTTTTACATCGGTAACGATTTAGTGTTGCCCAAATAATGCTAAAAGGCACTTGTGTAAATCGTTTTTTATAAGTAACGATTTAGCCACGAGAATAATGTAAAAAGGCAAAACGTTTATTTGCTGTTTTTGAAACAGCTTTACATTCTGTCCGTTATTACGAGTGATTGTACAATGGTAAATTATATGAAATATTTTATTTTTTAACATTCATTCATTCGACCATTAAAATATATTTTGTGACTAGTAGCTCACCCTGGCTTTGCTCGGGTTCGATTATAGACCAACAGAAACAAATCTATCCCACGGGACTTTTTCGGGGATAAAAAGTAACCTATGTGCTATTTCAGACTATAATGAGAAATTTCATCCTTGACCTTTCAGCCGTTCTGGCGTGATTGAGTAACAAATATTCAAACATTCATCTAAACTTTCACATTTATATTATTAGTAAAATTGGCTAGAGTTTAGCTTACCATGGTATAAAGTAGTCTATGGCACTGTCCGGCCCTTAGAATACAAGATAGAAACAAATCGATTTATTTGAAGCATATTAAGATTATACGTTTAGTCGCCGTTTTATTTAAGAAACTCTGTACTTACAATAAAATGCTCCAACGTTAATGCTTGACTGTCTGCTTAAGTAATGGTTTAGATTTAATAGAAGCCACACCAAGAGCTTTTAGAAAGTAATACAAGTCAGATGGAGAGGTCCTTGAGAAGCACTTTGTATCATTTATTGTTAAAAGATTTAAAATAAAAAAAAAAACTATTATATGTAATAGTTGCAGAAAAAAAACTATTACGCATATTTAAATACACTACTTTTATTTACAGTTTTATTAGAAACTAGCATTGCTTGCGGCTCCGCCCGCGTTCAGATGACCAAAAACCAACTTATTAGGTTTTACATATGAGTATACTCTTACAATGCAGGTTTTGTATTTTTTCTCAAAAATGACATATTTTCCCGCGGTAAAAAGTATCCTATATGTTGACCCGGATAACCAGCTATCACCTTACCAAATTTCATCAAAATCTCTCTAGTGATTTTTCTGTGATGCGGTAACAGACGGACAGACAGACAGACAAAAATTCTAAAAAACTATAGATTCGGCCTCTGTATCGACAATAATGTTTGTTTCAATAAGATTTTCCAAAAATATCTAATGTACAGATTCGGTTTAGTTACAATTTTTTATATGTATAGACTAGCAACTTACCCTCGCTTCGCCCGGGTGCGTCTTCGTGCGATTGCTTTGTTTCAAACCGATAATGCAGCGCACGCCGATAATGCAACTCCACGACCAGTTTTATTCCTATTTCAATTAAATAGATTATTTTCTGATTGAGATAAATATCTTCTGATAGTAACATCTTTTATTGGAATAAAAAATAGTTTTTGCATTCAGGGTTCATGTCCTCCTTGTACGGGCCAGTACATAATATTTGTCGCATAAGCACATTACGCCATACTACGTAGATAGAAGCTAGAGGAAGTAGATAGAAGAAGATAGAGGCTATATATATTTCAATTAATGTGTCGCGGCAGTTGTCGCGGTCGCCGTCGTGCGCGCTCACGGGTCGTTCTATCAATAATATCATTCTATCATAAAAGTACAGTTAATATACAATTAAGTTAATTTTGGACTATCATTTTCTATATCAATAATTCCTATCAGCCAAAGACTGTAGGGGTTTTCGTCTCAGCCCGTACACTCTTATTAGTGAAACAATTTTAATAATTGGATCAGTCGTTTCCAAAACACCCTAAACAAACTTTATAATATTAGTATGGGAAATGGCACTAAGAAATATAATTCACTGTTATATATTGTCATAGTAGTAAGATATTAAAATGACTGTATTTTTTTCACTAGGCGCGCTGGAGGGCGGTCACCTGGGCGGCGGCGGCGGCGGCAGCGCGCTCGGCGCGCTGCGTGCGGCCGGCTCGCCGCCCGCGCCCAGCCTCGGCGCCAGCCGGCATAGTCTCATAGGTAAAAAATGTATAAAACTTAATCGGCCTACTGTTACAAATGCCAAAGTTTGTATGTATGTGTGCATGTGTGTGTGTTTGTTACACCTTCACCCTAAATCGGTTGTACGGATTTGGATGAACTCTAGTGCAATGTTAATATAGTATATAGCCTGGAGTAACACACAGGCTACTGTTAGGCATCTAGGGACACATCCGTGGTAGTAAAAGTAAGGGACTATATAGTATGGTATAATAAACATCAAATATTTTTATATCTTTAGATGCTTTTTGTATTTATAATGTGATATATAGGCACCACTACCTTTTGATCGATTTTACTACCTAAACAGTAGTGTATGTGTTACTCCAGGTCAGTCTATCTATTAAATTGTTTCCAAATCTTTCCAGCCGTTGCAGCGTAAAGAAATATCAACAATTTAAGCTTCCACACGCCTATCCCTATTAACATTGTCGGATATGCAAATTTGTCATTTTCTTTTTATTTCACTAATCACTCTTAAAAAGTCTCTTCTTTTAGTAGCTGCAACAAAAAAATATTTTTTACGAGTAGTTTTTAAAATAGCCACAAGTAATTTTTGTTAACCTAACTTGTACATTTTAAAAAATATCAACAATTCAAACTTTGACGCACTCTCCTGTAAAGTTGCCGATTTTCACATCCGACAATGTTAATAGAGATAGGCGCACATACAAATTTTTACAATTATGAAAGATAAATATAATATTCAATACGACGTGATATAATAATTATAGGTAAATTTGATACTCTCTAACTTTTTCTCAAGACTTCTTAAATAAAAGCCATATGTGACATTTCTTCGTTGCGTAGCTTTAATTTGGTGGCATACTTTAATTAACAGGATTCCAAGTCGTGTGTCCTGAACTAATTGATGAGTTGTATAGTGCGGGAACTGGGGACGGTGACGGTTCTCGAGGTTACTCGTAAATCTACGTTACGCGGGTTGGCCCAACTCTTGATTAATTTATTTAAGAGAATTTGCGTTATACATGTACGTATAACATATGCAAATGAACACTCTTACTAAATAGTTAATATTAAAATTAGAAGAATGACTTTAATTTTGGTCTTTACATGCCTTCTTCTAAATAAATAAATAACGATTTGTAGAAATAAACAGCATGTAGCTTGATGTCGAAATCGATATCTATATAATATATACCTATAAAATGACTTGTCCTGACTGATTCATCAACGTAGAGTCAAAACCACAGGAGTTGATGCATTTTATGATGTAAATTTCCACTTTTGCATTTTCATGTCCACACAGGAAGAATTTCTGGAAATGCCACCCTTGAAGGAGTAAAATAAGGGATAAAAATTTGTATGAAAGTCAAAAGGAAAGATAGATTATATTGATATGATAGGAAGAAAAGGAAAGAAAGGATATGATAGGAAGGAAAGGAAGGAAAGATAGATTATATTGATATGATATATTCCTCAGCAAACGGGATATCTTACGCAAATAATGCAAAATAATTTTTCCAATCGGATTAATAGTTCCTAATATTAGCGCGTTTAAAGTAACAAACAAACATAGTCGGCTTTTTTATAATATTAAGTATAGACTAGCGATTTACCCTATTTTCATTTTTTACAATTTCATGGGGTTTTGTTTTGCGCACAACCCGACCAGCCAGTGAAAGTCCCGTCATCTGACAGACAAATAAAATTTAAAATTTTTGTAGTTTATTTTTTTATTCTTTTTTCCTATAAGTACTACATATAGGTACTTTCATGTGAATTTAGTAAGAAGCTGTTTTGACATTACAAACAGACACTTCAATTTTATTTATTTATATAGATAAAAATAGACAGATGAATTGGGACACGTTGCTTGTATTGTTACTAATGTATTTTATGGCAAAGTAGGTAATCGGGGAAATATGAGATTTCTATTTTAGTAAATATAGGGAAAATTATTCATGTGGAATACGTGCGCAATGAGGAGTCGGAAACGACTCAGATAAATACTGGGGGGGATTAACTAACTTTCTTCATTATCACAACGTTCACGAGGACATGAATGTAATTAATGTGGAAATATAGGAAATGAGCTTTCGGTATCTGCGTTCCAATTACAAATTGTAATTTCATTCAACAGTTTATATTTCGTCGGGAGGTTAATCAATGTATCGGCGCGGCGATAGTGCAACTTTCTCGCCACTTATACTAAGGGTATAATTTTAGTATGTTCTGTATGATTATGATTAGCTGAATACTTCGCAATAAAATAAGAAAAAATGTTAAAAAACTTACCGGATCTTGCTGTTAACCGTTTTTTTTTATTGTTTTACACGGATAATCTGACAAAGATGGGATAGGCCATGCTGAACACCTTTATTTATAATAGATAACCTGGGTGCGCACTGAAATTAATTTTGAAACTGCCAATTGTTATATATGTATGTATAAGTATATAAAAATATGATGTATTTATTATATTACTAGCGGCTCACCCTCCCTTCGCTCGGGTTCGCCTCAAGAAAACAAAAACAAATATATCCCTCGGAAACCGAGATAAAACATTTTTCCGGGATAAAAAGTAGCCTATGTGTTATTCCAGACTATAATCTATCTCTATGCCAAATTTCATCCAGATCCGTTCAGCCGTTCTGACGTAAAAGAGTAACAAACATACATCCATGTTTACAAACTTTCGCGTTTATAAGTAGGATTTAACAAAAACAAGCTGTTTAATTAAGGACATACAAAAGCTCTTTCTTAATAATCAACGAAGAAATTTAGCGGACAAATTCATTTTTGCAAAAATATTTTTTTTATATTCAGTAATCAAATGGCTTTGGTGTAAAATCTCCTTTCTGAAATGTCATTACGGTAGTAATTCCTCACTGACAGTTTACAATTTGACAGTGGGATAATGCGGGGTGTGGGATAAATAGCCAGTGTTAAGATTAATGTATGCGATACATGTGATTAACGCTGCCAATTAGATTGTATGTAGAGGCATATACGTTTGCGTTGGACACTATTAAGAAATTAGTGTAGATAACATTATGTTCACGATACGCTTAAGATGAATCTTATCACAATTTGAACCTAAAGATTTGACCCAGTGGTATTTTTTAAAATGTTACAGCATTACCAAACATGTCGATATATAAGAACTAAGCGGTCGTGCATAGGAAAAACTTATATGAAATTAGGTTACTCATAAAAATATATATCATTAAATTTGAAAATTAAATAATAGAAATTATTTTTGAAACCTTGTAGCTTTAGACATAGTATTTACATATTATAAAAAAATCATAAAAATAACTTGTCAAATCTAAATCGTATACAAATAAAAAGATTAGTACGTACGTTTCTTCTAGTGTTTTTATACATGTCCCCATATTGGCGGAGTATCAGTATAACAGCCGATGTGTTACTACGTGACGGTACCACCAATGTCTCGAATACGCTCGTTACCCCAGCTTTATCAATAAATTGTTCGTTGACCAGGTTGACAGTTTTGCCAAGTTAGGCCCGATAAAGGATTAAGATAATGCGATTTATTTGAATAGATTTTGATTCATTGCTATTTATATAGCTATATGATAGATGAATCGATTATTTCTAATTTTGGTAATATAAGCGTTTAATTTAAAGTAATGTATAGATAAATTGCAGAGAAAGCCGGAAGAAAATTTTTTTATTTCTTTTTAGTGCCCTTTAGTCTAGTCAAGAAGTGGCTTTATGATCAACTTTTTTCAGCAGTCTCGGAAAAATATGAACGAGGTGTCATTCGATTCGGAATGGCATGAAGATATTTAAAAAAAATCAAGTACCGCTTGCAAAAATTGCTAAAGTTATAAACAATCGAAAATCAAGTCTAACGTAATGGATTTGTCAAATTAAGTTCCCACTCAACAAAGTCGATGTTGCTAATATTCTATATATTCATCCTTATACACTAAGAACACTTAAAAGTAGAAAAGAATTTACTTATTCTTAGCTGTATATATAATATTTCATGGATATTACTGTGTACATTGATTGTAGTACGCCAAAAATATATTGAACCACCTTTTTTTTTTTTTTTTTTTAACGTTGGGAAATGCATTTACGCACGATGTGTGGGACTCACCGGCGTAATACAGCCAGTACTACCCACTAAAACCCAACAAAACCTTCCCCCGTCTTAATGGGGCGTCGCAGGATCGCTTGCGCATTCAACTACGACGCCCCGACGGCAGGTCTGCCAAAGCAGACCACCACAACCATGGGGTTGCTCCACAGTCCACTCTGCTATCAGAGAAGTACCAGGAGCAACCCGCATGGTACACCGCCCCCCAAAGAGGGCCACCTCCCACCGCCCACCGAAGTGGGCAACCTCCCTGTGCGTTTCTTAGCTTCGCGCCCGGTTGGATTGCCGGGCACTACTGAGCCCCCCCACCACGACAAGGTGAACGCACGTTGGGGGGGGTCCATATATATATATATTGAACCACCTAGCCACTTGAATAGAAATATAATTCGAAAATGTTAAATTCGTCAAGCCGTCTTCTAGAAATCATTGAATATAATATTGTATATAGGAAAAATAAACGCATCGAACATAGTGTCCTCCTTTTTTTAAAGACAGAATTAGCAAATATCTCATAACTTAGAAGAATAGAAATATCAAAGAGTTATACCTTACCCCTAATATAAGATTTTTAAATTTTATCCCTTAAATGATGAATAAATTGGCAACGATAAGAGTTAAATTAATATTTAAAAATTGTGACTTACTTTAGTTAAAAAATTACGATCAAATAGATTGAATAATCAGGATTAATTTTAACATCTTTCTGTATAAGTTCTGAATCTATTTTTACAAATATTATAACTAGTCTTTAGTATATAGACATACATACATATGTACATAATATAGTGTTATATAAAATCATAATAGACGGGTATGAATGTTAAGTCCACGAATCAATTTAGATTTTATAGCTTCATTTTACCGGGAATTGTGAGTTATATTGATATATGGGTATGTGAAATGGTATATGAAAATCTCATGTGATGGGTATATGAAAATCTCATGCTCCCGCCGCAATATTTGCTATATTATGACGACCGCTAAGAGTATGGGTGTGGAACGTAAAAGTTTCATGACATTTTCTCTACCCTTGGAATTTGTCTATCATATCTTACGTTATTTTTTTTATTATATCCTTCATTTTTTTATATATTTTTAAAATTAAGAGTTCTTGCTTTTGTTAATAAAATAAAATTTATTTTATTTATGTTTATGTAATACGTATATTATAATTTAATGTTACGTATATTTTCAGGAGTTACTTGGTAGTAATATAAGATATAAAGTGCAGTAATAGTGTCAAAATTCAATGAAATAATAATATTATTTTTAACAAATTATTTATTTTTGTCGTTTGTCATTAATATGTATATTTAATTATAAATAAAATATTTGGTTCTTTGCGAGTACTGATTGAGAATTGTGATAATACGTTTCCCTTAAAATAATAGTGGTGGACAGGGATATGTAACAATTATGACACTCTAGTTATTTATATTTTCAACCGATTTCCTCAAAAAGGAGGAGGTTCTCAATTTGGCTGTATTTTTTTTATGTTTGTTACCTCAGAACTCCGTCATTTATTAACCGATTTGGACAGTTTTTATTTTGTTTGAACGTGTATACCAGATTCGTCCCATTTAAATTAAATTTCAAAAAAATATACCACCCCTAAGAGTGGAAAAATAGCTAATAATGAATTTAACTTGCTTTTAATTGTCATATTGACTTGAAACTTTGCAAGTGTTTTTATTTCCGTTGATAGTGCAGTGGTTCGGATTCGTTGACCAGATCTGATGGTAAGACTAAAAGATTATATAATAGTAGATACTATAAGACTAAAAGATTATATAATAGTAGAGAATTTGGGCTTATTTTCTTTGTTTTA